CAAGTTCAGACTATCTGTAATCGAACAAGCCAGAGTGAAGATGTTTGTTTTCCTAATAAAAGTTAGTCTTGAAAGCTGTCTCTGCCTTTTAAAGTAATTAAGTTTATTTTTCTAGTAGGTCAATACACAAAGGAAGAAAAATGTATCAGTTTAAATTCAGAATCTTACATATACACATTCAATTAAATATGTTTTCTCAGATTACGAAATGTCACCTCTCCATCAGATTCCTAGATATAGAAAACTCAGAAATGTTTTGTTTAATGGCAGCACCTAGGCTTAAATAAGACCCTGGGTAGATCTTTCATTTCTTTTTATACCTCTTTCTTAAAAGGCATTTCTCTGTTATTTCCCCCAGCACAGTTGGAGAGTATATATCAAGTTTTTGCCAACCTTCCTTTGGAACAGAGGAATTGCTGAACAAATGGCAGGTTTATGTAAGAGGAAATCTCCATGGTTTAACGTGCTTTTGTTTCCTGTCAGTGTGTACCTTCTGTTTTTGTTCACGCATAATCATCTTGTAACTTGCACAGAAAGGCAGAAAAAAAAATGAGTCTGGGGAAATGGATGTTCAAGCCATTACTTACAGGCTGATTTTCCAATCTTGGCCTAAAAGGCTTTTCATGAGACCAGAGACTCCAGTAGCTAGGGCTGCTCTATGCAGAAGACTGGAAATAAAATAATGCAGTATAGGCCCCCATAAAATCAATACACTGTCAAGAGAACTTCATCATCACTTGAATGAGGTCTTCTCTCTAGAGAAAAGCCTTTCAGAGCACTAAGCACTTTCCACATACTAAAATTGTTTTATTTCTGTAATGAGCATATAATTATATGTTTTGTGTCTTCACTAGACTGAGAATTTGACAGGGTAGAGGCTGAATCTATTCATCAAAGTCCTGCTATGTGTTTTGTATTTTCTACAAATGTTTGTTGGGTGAATGGGTGAACCCTACACTTTGGAGCATGATATTTTCAAATTAGAATCCCAGAATCACAAACTCCATGCAACAAACCCCATTGACAACATGGTTTCATAGGTTAGGAGTATATTTGACTCATGAGAGAGAAGAAAAACAATGTCTCCATTGGGCAGCAGCCATTGATTTCCTTACAATGATTCTCACCTTAGAGGAAAGAACACATTTTTCTGTGGGTCAGAGAAGCTTATTTGTGAAATCAACCAGTCTTTTTTGAGCATCTGCAAAAGGGAATAGGACTGAATGGGGTAGAGCTGCAATAGAAAAGTGAAACCAATGTAATTCTTTGAGACACTAAGATCTACTTGAGAGACAAACGGGAAGAGCTAAAATCACTTCAAAGAAGATTGAAAGGAGGGGCACAGTGGTGGGAATATGTGAAAGGAAGAGGGAAATGGCAGAATGGACATGATGGCACAGACAAGCTGAGGCTTTGAACCACCCAGGAATATTACACTGAGATCAGGAGTAAAAGGGACGGACACTCCCTGAAGCATAAACAGGGCTGGAGAAAGACTGATTTTGTAAATGGTAAAACACAGATTAGTTGAAAATGGTTGAAGGCTGTTTTAAAGAAATATCAGAGGTCTTTACTCATTATATATTCCCGGCTGATTTGTGTGTGTGTGTGTGTGTGTGTGTGTGTGTGTGTGTGTGTGTTATGTGTTGTCATTGATTTTTTGAGATAAGGTCTTCCTATAGCCCCAGCTGGCCTAGAACATGATCAGACTAGTCTCCATCTCTCAGAGATCCACCTGTCTCTGTCTTCAGAGTGCTGAAATTAATGGCATGCCACCATACAGGGCTCCTGAGTGAATTTCATATTTGATGTAAATACAAGTAACCCTAAGCAGTAATTTTGATGATTTCATTATCCTAAGTTCAAGAGGGAGGTCTGGATTTAGCAACTCATGCCCAAAGAATAGAGTACAGAAAAGAATGTTATAGCAGAGAATCTTGGTCAAGAATAGTAGAGTTTTAGGGATGGAGAGATGCCTCAGTGGTTAAGAGCACTGGCTGCTCTTGCTGTTCAAACCAGGGTTTGAATACCAGCAACCACATGGCAGTTGACAACCTTCTGCAACTCTAGTTCCAGGGGATCCTATACTCCCTTTTGTCCTCTGCGCACAATACAACAGAGTGCATTTAGATATGTGCAGGCTTAACACCCATGCACATAAAACAGTCATAATAAAAAAGAGTATTAGAGTTTTAATGTCATCAATGATACCAGACTCCATGTAATTAGTAATGTTTGTTCCTGAGACCCACAAGTAATATATAATGAGGCAATATTAGAGGCCCCCAAATGAGAGACGGTCCACAAAATCCCTGATCATTACTTTACAAAATTCTCAAGATCAGGGGCTAGGAATGTGGTTCCATTGTTAAAGTGCTTGTCAGACAAGCATGAGAATCCAAGTCAGCAACCCAAGAACTTGTGGGAAAAAAAGCCAAGGGCAAGTATACTTGATATCTCAGCAATGGAAAGGAGGAGACACAAAGATCCTTATGGTTTGTACATGCACATGTACACAGACATATGTACCAACATACGCACATACACATTCACCCTTATATTATAAAACAGGAAAAACCAAGGAACTCTCAAAGAGCATAGGAGATGCAGTAATTGAAGGCAATGTGTAACTTTGTTGGGATCCTGCAACACTGAAAGGATGTAAGGGGGTGTGTTGGATAACTTTAGTGTCAACTTGACACACCTGGGTTGAGGGAGCCTCAATAGGGGAATTGCCTCCATAGGACTGGCCTGTGGTCATGTCTGTGGGGCACATCTTCTTGATTGTTGACTGTTGTGGCAGGGCCTAGCCCATTGTGGGTGGTGCCACCCCTGGGCAGGTGGGTCTGTGTTGCATAAGAAAGCAGACTGAGCAGGGGCCAGGAGAGCAAGCCAGTAAGCAGCATTCCTCTTTGGCCTGTGCTCCAGCTCCTGCCTCCATGTTCCTGCCTTGAGTTCCTACCTTGGGCTCCCTGATGAACTGTGACCTGGGAGATGTAAAGTGAATAAACCCTTTCCTCCCCAAGTTGGTATTGGTCAGAGTATTTTGTCAGAGCAATGGAGAAACAAACTAAGACAGGGGGTAAGTGATGAAATGTGAGTATAGTTCACTGCAATGCAATGATGTTGGTTTCTTCATTTTGATAAATGTTCCAAGGCAAAGTAAGACAAGATTTACAACAGAAGCTGCCTGTGCTTAGATGGATGTGATATGATATGATCACGTATGATGTGATGAAGGCTAGGACTATGTGATTTAACACTAATACTGTAACATCATTAGCAATAATAAGCTGTCACATCTCTGATGCACCTTTCTATGCAGATTCCCTAGCAGAGCAATTCTGTCCATGGTGCAAATCAAGCAACAGGGACAGAGCTGAACTGAACCTACACAGCTCCAAAACTGTCAGCATATGGGGTTCAAATCACAGCCTTGTGACCATGATACTATGTTATTATCTTCACCAAGACAGGCCAGTGTGTGTGTGTGTGTGTGTGTGTGTGTGTGTGTGTGTGTGTGTGTATGTTGTAACATGTACATGCTGCCTGTAGATGGGAGAAAAACAGAAAACATCAGAAGATGGGGCATAAATAATTTTGAGGTGGCCACCAAATTTTAGTTACAATGAAATTTCCCCTAAGTATTGAGGCCTTAAAGATAGCTCATGAGCAAAACTGCTGCTTCTTTGGCCTGTCAGATTTGCTTTTTTATTTCTCCTCTCTCCACTTATTTAAACCATCACTAATACTCTAATATGTTAGCGATAATTTCTCCTTAAAAATAAAGTTAGCCTAGCTATCACAGATTTGTGAATTTGCAAAATTATTGTGCTTAGGAGCCCCTAAACCACATCCAATTCTTTGTTTTCCTTTGATCCCATCTTCATGTATCTTAATGGTGACTCTGAGGCCATGTGGGCAAAAAAACTGATTACCATGCTTGTCTTCATACCTTTGTGTCATATTCTCTCTACTTTATCATGATTACAATAACTGCACCAGTAACCTTTTAATAAGGGAAGACACATTCATAGCACTGCCTTGGTGTAATTTAGAAACAGCATTAATAGAAAATGAAATTCCATATGTTGACAACCATTCTCTCCCCCTCTTCTGGATTCATTCACATTGCAGCAGCATAAATCAGAAATAAAGGCTGCTTGTGATTCCAACTTGCTTTTGAACAAAAATGTGTTCTTAAAGATGGACTCATTTTACCACCCTCTCAGAACAAGGATTCAAAGGAAGAATGACCCCCTCACCAGATATGTATGCATATGCAAAGGAAAAATGGATATTTAAAAACAGGTGAAGGAGTATTTGTCCTAAAATGTGGGCTCCCCTGTTGATGGGAACGCTGAGGAGCTATCCCAATGCTCTGCTGCCACCTTGGCAAACTGGAAGGATTTACAACGGAATTCTTCAGTTGGAGAGAGCTCTCTGGGCTGGTGGGCTCAGAGAGTCCTTTGGAATGGTTGCTAGGAGTCCCACTGGCTTGGGCATGTTATAAACACGCTTTGCTTTCTCTTTTAAAATAAACGAGTTTCAGCAAGGTTCACTCTCTAACAGCTTCCTGCTTTAGAGCAGAAAACCTGATGGTGTCCTTGTGCGGATGATGTCCTTGTGAGGTTGGACTCTGAGTGCCTTCTGGGCTCTTTTGGGTGTGCCAGTGACAGCAAAGGCCCTTTGTGGACATTTTTCTCATGACTAAGTTTCCTTTCCGGGTCAAGCAGATTGGATCGCTTAGCATTCCAGCTAAGTCCTTGGAAGCGCAAACACGTACGCAAAGCTCTTTACTAAATGCCATGTGGAGTGTATTCTTTGATTAACCTGTTCCAAAGGAGCTGGGAAAACATTATTGGTGAAAACACCTTTAAAACTGACCTGTTGTTTAAGTATCGGAACTTCCTTTTTGCATCGTCATTTTTGTCTGGTTCCCCCCCCCCCCCTGTTTATTCCATCCTGAGGTCTCTCCCTCAATCCACCCTATTCCCTAATTTCTCCATTCAAAAGGTAAATTCGTTCATCTTCTGTCCTCTTCCCAACCTTCGGGTTTCCTTAGTCTTCCTTATTTGATTATGTGCCATTTGGCTTACTCTGGCCTGGTTTTGTTTAAATTTGTCACGAGTGGGTGGGTACCCTCCTGGATTCCTCTTGAGCAGGCGTTACAGTTCAGAGCTAGACCTAGAATCAGCGACGATTTCCAAATCTTCAAAGCACAGCTAGGAAAGGAAATAATAGGAAGGGAGGGGGGCACAGAAGTAAAGGAATAAAAACCAACTTTGTGGGCAACTTCAATAAATCCGGTAACTGGAGGCAAAAAATAGATTCTGAGGGCTGGGTCTGGTCCGGATGAAATGCTAGGCTCCTTCCCATCCCAGAGTCTGGCACTGGAAGCGCGCCGCTGGCACCTTGCCACGCGAGCGCCCCTAGACAGCCACACGCCCACTGGAAACGCACGTGAACACGGCTCTTGCCTGGAGAGCCGCCGCCTGCGGTTTCCCTGCGCATTCTAGCATCTCTACAGAGCATAGGGCTCACACAGGGTTAAGTCAGTTCCCTCCCCGGTAGGAGGGAAAGGAGGGGGGAAGGGGAAAGACGCTAACAGTCTCAGGCTGGGTACCTGGTAGTTGGTTGTACGTTTGAAACCTGTCGCCGTCGCTTATGAGTTTGGCGTCATCCATTGTCACGGCGGAGGAATGCGCGCTGGGAGATAACATCAAGTGCCCTCAGCCTCGCCCACGCGTGGAGCCTTCTCTGCTTCCAGGTGCGCTTCTTTCTGAACCTCCTTCCCCGGTTTCCCGCAGCAGCCAGGCAGTTCCTCAGAGCCCATCGCCCTGTCCACCAAACCTCAGGACCTGGCAGTTCTCAACGATGGGCAGGAGGGAGCTCAGCATCGACCCTTAAAACAATACCATGCCCGGGGAGTCCCTGTGCTGTCGCGCCAGCTTCTTCCCTTTCCACCTCCCCGACCCCGTCGAATTCGGATGAGACTATTTCCAGGAGACGCGGCCGCCAGGTAAAGGGACTTCGGTGCCAGGTGAAGTTTCTGTCCATCGTCCTAGCTTTCGCTACGCGGACACCACGCTGTTTGGGGAAGATTTCCTTTTTCCCTTTTTGAACAAGTGCAGGGTAGTCATCCGGTGGGTGTTCTAGATTTTGTCTTTTTACCCCTTAAGAAAATAGGCTTCCAGTTCCACCCGTACTTTTGGGACTTACATGCTCAGTTCGAAGCCATCCCTTCTAGAGAGTTTTGAGACTGAGTTTGGGGTCAGAACGTTATTTTGCTTGCCTGACAGAAACATCGATTCCAAATGGAGTTTTTCAAATTCCCTATGTTCGGAGAGGTCCAACCTCTCATTTCTCTAGAATAAACGTCTTAACTTCCACACCGAGTAATCTCCCCTATGCATCCATGCATACAGCAGCTTAATTACCAAGGGGTTGCAACTAAAGCCTCCACCAGCCTCACGACAGCACTCTAGGATCAATTAACAGCTAAGATGTGGATGCTAGTTCATTTTCTTTCCAACTGAGTGCCTTTTCTAAACCAAGAGTCCCTCTCCTGCCCTGCTAGTGCCCCTCGGGCTGGCCACTGAGCTATGGCCTTCGCGGTTTCCGGATGCACCCGCAGGGATGGCGAAATCCCTGGGATGACCAGAGGCTGAACTGGGATCACTTTCTCTGTGCCGCGTGCGCAGGATGCCGAGATGGGTAGATCAACGCCCCCAGGCGCTGAATGGCAGGACTAGCAAAAAGCCGGTGGGGCCAGAACCGGACCCAGACAGCTGCCACCGAATTCCCACTGGTTTCGGGGCCTCCGGGATAGATTCCTCCGCTGCACTGGCCAGTCCCGGGCTCTTCCCAGCGCTGTCAGTGCCGGCAGGGCCACTTCTGTTTCGTAATCTCCCCTAAGATCAAAGAGCAGAGTTAAAATCACCTCACTAAAAAGGGAAAGGAGGCCACCAGAAGAGGTTGTCATGTGGGGGCCGCTGGTCTCACCCTTGTCGCCTGGCAAAGCCCTTGGCTAAGGAGGGGCTCCGGGAAGGGGCATTTACTACTGAAAGCGACAACCAGGGCTGCCGTTACCGTAGCTACCAAGGCTAGCATCATCTGTTCCCTTTGGGTTGGAGTTCCCATTCGAGCCCCCGCCTCCTTTGAGTATTGTTAGTTACAGTTTGGCGAGAAGTCAGACTATGTATAAGCCAACATGTTCTTTTAGTTACCTGGGAAGAGTGGCAGGCTCTCAGGAACGCGAGCGGTCTGTCTATGTGTATGCTTGTGTGAAAGTCTGCGTCTCGGTGCCTTTGGGTGGATCCATGTGTGGCTAGGGAGACAAATCCGGCATTTCTCCAAGTCCTCTTACCAGGACTTAGGCGCTCACCATGAAGGTACTAGACACAACAGCAATGCGAAGGAAATAAAAACAATTGGGGATGTGGTGCCAAGTGACTCAGACTTTGAACTGAGGACTGGGAGTGCGGTCCTGCCTGGGGCTCCTCCGGAAATCATCTCCGGGCAGTCACAGACAACGCCCTTGCCAGTCTCCTGCCCAAAGAGCTGAGCTGATCCCTAGGGTGTTGGTCCAGGGCTAGCTTTAAACTTGCAAATGCTTCTCCCTCGCCCCTACCCACGGAGCCCAACGCTTGGCGCGGGCTCGTTCTCCCTCTTCTGTTCATAGTCTGCCTGTCTCCAGACTTCTTAAAACAAGACGGCAAGTTACCAGAGGCATGAGGGACATCTATGAAAGGAGGAGCAAACCAGCCCCATCCCTCACCAAAAGAAAAAAGAGACTTGCGTCTGATTTCTTAGATTACTCTTTCACCTCTGTAGAGAGATTTCGAAGAGGGACTGGTGTACCAGTGGGAGTTCCTTTACCTAGGCTGTTTCGACTTTGTTGGTTGTCTACTGCAATTTTGAGGACCACTCATCTACTGAACATCCGTTTATCTAGAGCAGCCAGGGTGATAGGAGAAAATGGAGGTGTTTAAAGACGATTTCAAACTCTAATTTCGTCAATTAAAGTTTATGGAAGAAGTTCCTGAAGAAGAGACCTTTGATAGTCTGGAGTGGGGGCGGGGTGCAGGGAGGGAGGAGGGGACACGTCCCCAAGGTTGCCTGAGCGTGAAATAACGCCATTTTGATGGAAAGACTTTTTTTTTTTTTTTTTTTTAACCTTGTAATCTGACGTTTCGATCATTTCTGAGTCTAAGTAATAGATCCTCGCCCGTGGAAGTACATCGGGCAGACCAGGGGGAAATCGCCTTTCACGGTTCAAATGGTGCCTTATTCCCAAGAGCTCCGGGTAAGGGAAGGCGCCAAACTTCAGGGAGGGACCAGCGTCCCACAGTGTCAAGGTGGCATTCCGGTGTTAGCCCGGTGCTGTGTAACTCTCCCCGTCTCCCCGGGGAGGACAGGGTTAAAAACCCAGTCTGACTTTGCCTCTTGGAAAGCTTAGGGTTGCAGCCGCTCCTCCCAAGCATTCTTTAAACCAGAAAAGTGGGAGGGACTCCGCCCGGGAGGGAGAAAAGGAGGGAGGGAGAGAAAGAGGGCTCCAGGAGGGGTGCGCGCCAGAGCGCGGGGGACCGAGGGAGAGGAGGAGCGCGGGAGGGGCGGCGGCGATCCCGCGAATTCATTACTGTAAACATCTACCCCGGAGGGGGTGTCAGGAGGGGTGGGGGTGGGGACCTCCCCGCCTACATTAGCCCCACCGCATCCGATCCAGGCAGCAGTGTGGCTGGAGCAGCCTCCGCACCCACGCCCGGCGGACGCCGCTCTCGGAGCGCGCCCCCCTCCAGGCCCGGCGCCTCCCGCGCCGCCCCGCAAGCCGGGCTCAGCCGGGTCTGCATACACGGTGCCTCTTGCGGGTGCTGCTCTCCATCCCACCCGCGCGGTCCTCGGTCTCTCCTGGGCTCCGCGGGGCAGCTCGCCACCGCCTTCCCAGCTCGCCCTACTTCTTTCGGGGTTGGAAGTGGAGAGGGGGAGAAAGAGGAAGAGAAGAGACGGGAGCTGCGGCGGCCCGAGCCCGGGGAAAGTGGCATGCCCGAGCCTTGGAGGCGGAGGTGGAGGAGGACGGGGGAAGACGATGCCGCGGCTCCGTAGGGGACGTAGGCGACTGCGAGCGAGGCGAGCTGGGTGCTCGGGCACCCGTAAGCTGCCGGGAGACGCGCGCCGCTCAGGGGCTCCGGCCTCCGCTCCCCGGTGCCCCGGCGCTGCAGGCGACAGGGCTCGGCTCCAGCAGCCACCGCCGCCGGCACCCGGAGGACCCAGCAAAAGTTTGGATCTGGGGGAGGGCGCTGCGCTGAGTGGGATTTACCACCTGGGCTGGAAGGAGACCTCTGGAGAACCTTCGCAGGTAAATGCGCACCCCCAACCTTCTCCCGCTATGTCGCCCCCGCCCCCACCTCCGCCTCCCACCTCCGCTGGGCTTCTGCCTCCACTGAGAACCTTTGGTAGGGGTGGGTAGGTTTAACTGAAGTGAGAGGGAGGCCAAGTTCAAGATCCTTGGGATGCTGAGTACTGAACACTGGTAGATCGAGAGCCATGTTAGCCGGCCGGGAAAGGCGGGGAGGGGGGGGAGCGGGTCGGGGGTGGCTTGGCATTTCTCTGTGCCAGATAAGCAGCTGTGCGGGAGGCGAATCCCCCTAGGAGTGGCCGAGAACCCTGGGCCCCAGCTGGTGCCTGACTTTGTATAGCTCTTTGGAAATTTAGAATGTGCATTAAGGGACTTTCGAACATGCGTGAACCCAGAAAAATGTCTGATGGATTTCATTCACCCTCTCATCCCCTTTCCCCTGTTTTTATCTTTAAAAAAGATTTGAGCCCACTCTCACTTGCCTGCTTCTTTTAGCTCGCTTGGGATCTCAAATTTGGAGACGGGTGCAAATATTGCAAGCCAAGTGGAAAAACGTATCTTCCCCCTTTGACAAACCCGGAGTCCTTCCTCCTTTCCTTCATCTTCTGGCGTCATAAAATGAGAACTTTAGAAGTCACATTTTGATTGACGAAGTGAATTTGCTGTGTGTGTGTGTGTGTGTGTGTGTGTGTGTGTGTGTCTGCAGGGGCTAGGTGATGTTGCATGGGGCCCCCTTTTTCTCTGTGGCAGTGGTGCGGGGGAAATGAGGGCGCCTCATGTAGGTACTGGGGTAAAAGAGAGAAGAGGATCACGTTTCTGTACAGCAACCGTTTTTTCGGCTAATAAAATAGCTAGTACTTCTAGAGCAAAAAAGATTTCAGCTCTAACTCCCCACCACCCCCTTTAAGCTTCTGTAGAGTTTTGAAGCAGCTCGGGTGGGGGGGGGTTGCTATCGTCTTTTTCATTGTGATAATTATTAATTCTCCTGAAAACTCCTAGTGCCTTCTTTTCTGAATGGAAATCAGTCTCCAAGAGCTTTTGATTAATTCTAATGGAGGGAATCTCCTGTAAAGCTTACAGTAAGCTAATCAAGTAAGTGCAAAGCAAAAATCCATGTAAATGCTCACGCAGGAGTGCAAGGTGCTGATTAGATTTTTTTACATGCTGCATTTGCTATGCAAAGCCTGGTCTAAATGGGAGCTATTGCTTCCCATTCAGCTGGGAGGCTATTTAATCACACAGGGTTTTAGGGAGCTTTGGAGCAGGTCCACTAGCTCACATGCTCATTGCTAAATTTATTATGTCAAACTTCCCCCAGCCAAAAGCTAATATGAAGGATGGCTTCCATATTAGAGTGAGATCCACTGTAGTCCTACCTGGTATGACCTTATTAAATCTCCAAAGAAGGACCCCCCAAACATTCTGAGATGAATAGAATGCAGGGGTTGGCATTTAGCCAGGGTTATATTTGATTGTTGCAATATGAATATAAAATTTCAGGTCAGCATCTGAAATGTTAGAACTGGATTATGTTTTTAAATCACTGAGGAACATTTACCAGATACATATGGCTTGGCGAGCCACCATATTAAAAGAGAATTAATCTTTGGGGAATACGCACAACAAAAAAAGTTGCTTATTTTAACTTGGCGTTATTGCTCCTAAACATACAACTTTTCTTTCCC